TGTGAATGCGCGAGGACGACCGGACCGATGCTAGTTCGAACTCGTAAGCTTTGGTACAAAGCCAGACGGATCGGTGTTTCATTACTGACGGCCACCATCGTAGTGAGGCAGGACCTTGACGTGATGCAATGGTTTGCGTGCTACAGTGATCCATTGAGCTATGATTAGTGGTGCTTTTTGCATCTTCAGAGCCACTCATACCAGACTGATCAATGGTTAGAGGCCAGACAAACTTAGCCTCCAGGTTGGGGGATGTAGTGAGGGTGCCTTCTCACTCCATAAAACGGGCTTTCTGTAGTCCAGTGCCAAAACCCCGCTGCTTTGCGGGCAGGTTTTTGAACCAAAGGCCTTGGTTCATAACCCTAATCGTTCTCCTGTCCTAGGCCTGGACAATCTGATCGTATACTGCCCACGCAATACAATGAACCTTTCCTCTAACAATTTCTCGATGCTCTGGCCATCGCAGAGGATAATCAACGGCGCCCTATCTGCTGCATCGAGCAGGGTGGATATGGGTATGGATGCTACTGCTCAGGCCTTCTCGTCTTCTTATCCCCCTTCTTGAGCTTTTTCAGCCTTATCGCCCCGCTCCAACTTTACTTTATACCCCCATTTTCAATCCCTCATGTTTTGGCCATCCCTTACCTTGTTTCAGTAGTCGCTTGTCATATAGTTTCAACACACACACAGTTGCAGGGCCTCGCTCCAATCCAGTCGACAAGTACATGTTCAACCAAGCAGACAACGTCAGTTCATCCGTTTCCCTTTGGAGTCCGCGTGTCTCGCTAAGATTGGCATGCCTCAACGTGCGCACTTTGCTCCAGATTGGCCAACAGGCAGCACTTGCCTGCACACTAGCGACCCCAACATTCGATATTTGCTGTTTATCAGAAACCCGCCTGCAAGATTCGAGCTCCGTGCTTACCCTGTGATCCCCCACATGCGACACTGGCGGCACATTCTCATTGCGCCTATCTGGCGATGATGCAGCTTCAAATGCCGGTCAAGCTGGCGTCGGCATTGTTTTGAGTCCCCGGGCTGAAGCTGCCCTGACCGATTGGATCCCAGTCAACAGTCGGATGTGCGCTGTTAGAGTAGCTGGTTCGTTCCGTGCTTCGAAGTCGCGCGGGAACAAACGGCGTCTGTTTGTCACTGCGACCTACGCCCCTACAAACTGTAGCACTGATTCAGTGAAAGATGGTTTCTCTCAACAGAATAACAATCTTCTTCGTTACAGAAGAAGCACGGCTACTGTGATGTTGGCCGGCGATCCAAACGCCCAAGTCGGAAAATTGTTCTCTGTCGAGCTTCATTTGGGTTGCCAACATGGTCTAGGCTCCCGTAATGATAACGGTGAGCGATTGCTACAGCTGTGTGAAGATGCTCGTCTCTTTTTCGCGAGCACAGACTTTCGACACAGCACCCGCAGAGGCGTGGTTTGGCGGCCACCATTTTCGCATCAGCAATGGAGGCAAATCGATCATATCACGATCAGTTACCGCTGGAGAGGCTGTGTCCAAAACTGTCGCTCGATTTGGAGCACGAGCGTGGACCCTGACCACGCACTTGTCTGCGCCGACCTCCGGGTGCGTTTCGGTGGAGGTCCGCAACGTCGATGTGAATGAATTGACACCAGCCAGCTGGTGAAGCCAAGTGTTCTGAATGTGTATCAAAGTGCGCTGACATCCGGGCTGAGTAAGCATCCACTGAACACCGTCGAAGATCACTGGTCGCAAATCCGTCAAACGTTACTACCAGCAGGCATGTCTTCATGTGGCAAATCAAATTGCCAAACTGGATATTGGGTCTCTACACAGTCTCTGGAACTTATGGATGCTCGCCGACGTATTCCGGTTGGAAGTGAATACCATGAGACTTGTAAAAATCTCAGGGCAAAATTACGTGCTAGCCTGAAGAAAGATCGCGAAGCCTGGTGGTCACATCGTGCCTCTGAGATGGCAACAGCCGCTACCGTTGGCAATCATCGTAAGTTATTCCGTCTGATACGGGAAACAGGCAGCAAGAGACCTGGTGCTAGCGAAACCATACGCGACGAGAGTGAGCAGCCGATCCAGTTTGTCAAAATGCTTGGAACGTTGGGCCGAACACTTAGCAAGGCAGTGTAACCAACCTGAATTCTCGCTTTTTTTCGGGCATTGAGCGCCCTTCTCCCTGGACCGTCTCGTTGGATCCACCCTCACGGGCAGAAGACGAAGGTGAGATCAGGCTGTAGAAATTGCATAAGGCCGTTGGCGCAGATACAATTCCGCCAGCCCTCTTCAAATTCGGGGGATTTGCTCTACTTGATGATTTACACGAGTTGTTAGTGGAACTTTGGGAGCACTAGACTGTCCCAATAGACTGGAGCCGCTGCGTCATTGTACCAATTTTCAAGGGAGGCTCCCGTTCCGAATGCAACAGTCATAGAGGGATCAGTCTGACCTCAACTGCCTCTAAATTAATTGCGTCTGTCATTCTCCACAGACAGACTGGCACTCGTGAAAATCAGCTTCATGAAGAACAAGCCGGGTTACATCGAGGTCGGGGCTGCATCGACCACATCTTCACCTTGCGTAAACTGTTGGAGCACCGCCATGTTTATTGGCGACCCACCGTTGTCGTGTTTCTTGACATAAAAGGTGCTTTCGACTCAGTCGATAGACGTGCCCTTTGAGACTGTCTGCTGAGGAAAGGTGTGCCTGATAAATATGTAAACATTATAAAAGCCTTGTACGCGCACAGTTCGGGCAGAGTGATGATTTATGGCAAACCGTCGCCACCCTTCAGTATCACCAGAGGTGTGAGACAAGGTTGTCCGCTGTCACCTTTCCTCTTCAACTTCGTATTTGATGAAGTCATGGAAACAGCGTTCGATGGACACGACGTAGAAGGTGTAGAGCTACTTGCTGATGAGCGACTTCTTGGCTTGGAGTATGCGGACGATAGTGTCCTAATCTGTGACAGCTCCCAAACATGTCAAGGAGCACTGGGCCGATTAGCACTGGCCGTCAACCGTTTTGGGCTATGCTTTGCTCCATCGAAATGCAAAGTACTTCTCCAAGATTGGCAGAGACCCATCCCTACGCTAACGCTTGGTGGTGATCAGCTAGAAGTCGTTCAGGACTTCAAATATTTATAGTATATATTAGCGCCCGGGGAATTAAGATGAGGTTACGAACCGTATAGCAAATCCTCGAGGTGCTTTTGCCAATCTGCGTCACCTGTGGCGCAGACGCGACAATTACTCTCGCCCTGAAGGGCAGAGTTTATAACGCAGCCGTCGGTTCTACTCACCTATATGGTTGTGAAACCTGGCCCATCAGGTGGACAGACATAAAGAGCCTCGTCAAATTCGACCATTGCCGCCTTCGCAGCTTAGCTCATGTCTTGTGGGAGCACCGCGTGAGCAATGAGCGTGTTCGGCGTCCCGTATTTGGTGTAGGAAGAGCGAGTGAACCGCTGAACACCATTATGTCACGCACCAGGTTCCGATGGCTGGGTCGCGTGTTGCGCATGCCAGCCCACCGACTCCCGCGCCGTGCATTGTTTGCACGTCGGGAGTGCGTTTGGAAGCGAAGGAGGGGAGACTAAGCGATGACTTTGTCTAGAGAAGAGAAAACCCTCCCTTCGAAATTGGCGTCGGTTGGTGCATCCCGACTGACTGGCTGAGGGTCCTTAGGACGATGACCAGGTCTGGTTGGACACAGTTGCTGATATGGCTTGTAGTCGGCCCCAATGGGGTTTGTTTGTGAGTTCCTATGTCCATCCCTCTCCTATTTAGCCTCCCCTCCAATCACGATCGCATTCGTTAGGCATAAGATAACCTTTTGCGGCACGATAGCTGGCTGTTAGCTCTCCGGAACGATGTCCATCCGTTACTGGGGTCTTAGCCGGCGTGCCACTGCTCTTTACTTCTTATCCTTTGTATTGCGACACAACAGCTGAGGTATTCTCCACCTGCAGGTAACGTATATAATGGTGATGATGATGTAGATACCACATCGATCATGCTGGTTGCCTATTGAACGGGCGATCTGAGCGAAAATGAGCCAACCATCTGAAAGCCGATCGATAGACTCCAGTCGAGCAAGAACGCCCACACGTGTGAGCGAGGATCGCCTTGTAAGCCCGGACGACCAATTGGCTCGATCGATGAATATGCTAAGTTTCCACCAGCGGCAGTCAATCAAAGAAGAACAAATCGAGATCGCACAACGAAGCGTAGTTTGCAGTATAAATAATATGGTGCCTTCTGATCAGATAGTTTCTGATCGCAGTCCAGTCTACGTTCTGATTTTCAGAGGGCTACCAGGACAATGAGTACGCCGACACATTGTGCCGACGCTTCGCTGCCACGCGAACACCACCTGTCATGCATGGGTTGGATATATCACCAGGTCGCCCGCCCCTACGATGATTCGAACCGGATACCACCAGATTAAGACGGGAGTGTAAGGCTGTCAGTCATCGGCCAAAGTGTAGGATGCTGGTTTTGCGGCGAATTCGCCGCAAGTAATAGCTTGCACAGACCGGGACCATGATAACCCGGTTTAATTCAAGAAGGGGCGTCTACGTGAGGTGAAATTTTCTCCGGTATTGAAACCACAATGGTTACAAAAATTGTTGAACAGATTAAGACCACGATACAGCTAAATTGATTGCGAGAGGCCAGTGGGTTAAAGAATCATGTCCATCTCTTAACAAATCAAGTGTTCAACCGGTATGTATTAATTAGTGAATGTATAGGCGAACCGTTAGCGATCAGTTGACATCGGGTGCTCTCTAACACCGAGAGGTGGTATTCGTGTTGGATGTTATCCTATTCATTTTTATCAGCGACCAACAAGTCAAAGCTTGGGGAAAATAGGAAAAATCGAGCGATCCGAGATTGAATCGCGAAGTATACGCCTGTAGTTGTCCTCGACCTTCCTTAGTATGCCAAACTGAGAAGTGATAATTGAATTTATCAATTACATGTATTACAGTCAGAGAATAAAGTATTACTCGTTCTTGTGCATTAAAGAGTCGATAGCAGATAGACGCTCAAGAAGCGGTGGATGCGAATAGGTGCACATGGAATACAACCAATCAGATACGGGAAATGACAAATTGTCCTTTTGTAAAGTCGTCAAAGCAGACTTCAGATGAGTCCCATATCCAAGATTAACAGCGAAGCGGTCGGCTTGAAATTCCAAACAACGAGATAGAACCGTCATCAGGAAGGCAAGAACAGTGTTGTAGGGAGAGAAAATGAACTGGAAGACGATGATCAAGCGAAGGAGAACGGGAACATAAGAAGTGAATCCGAATGAGACGAAAATGCTATCGACGGTCATTAACGAGCTGAATACAATGAACATCAAAAGCAAATTAACTTGGCCAATTACCAGGTGGACGATAGTGTGGCCATATTTCCAATGACCCAGTTCGTGTCCCAGGACTGCAACGACTTCCTCATCTAGGGCGCAACCGCGAATGGGTACCTTATCTTGTTCATCACTGTGAATTTGTGGGGATGATGTCCCCGTTTCTGGGAATTTGAATCCACGCATAAGTGTATCGTACAACACAATGCGCTTGTTTTTTCCAAATCCATAAAAATAGGCATTGCTGTGAGCTGAGCGCTTAGAACCTTCTACGACAAGTAACTTCTTCAGGGGGAAATTAATCCTTGCAGCCAGGGCTTCAATTTTGTTTCGAAGGCTGCCATCAGGAAGTGGGGCGTATCGGTCGAATAACGGAGCGATGAACTCAGGATAGACGAACATCATGAGTAGGGTGACGACGAGGGCGAAAATATAAGCATATATATAAAAGTGACGACCACCGAACTTTATGATCCATATTAAGGCCGAAGATAAAGGGAACCCGATGGCTATGGATAAAAGTGTAGCTTTTATTCTGTCTTTGAAGAAAAAGTATAGTGTTTGATTGTTGAATCCGTGACGGGCTTCGATGACGAAGTTGAAATACAGGCTCCATGGAAGAGATTGGAAAAATTTATAAATGGTGACGTAGAACAAGAAGACCAAAGAGCAAATGATTTCGCTATCAGAGTTGATTCCGAGATCGATACCAAGACTCCATTTTATGAAGGAATTAATAGCAATGCTGTCTTGCGTTACCTTGGACCACAACCACGGTATAACCGAGAAATAAAGTATGAGTGTGGTTTCAATGACGTCGTACAAATCGTGGGTGAAGGAAAAAATACTTTTATCCTGTGTGTAAGCCCTCGATCTTTGAAACTCCGCGTTGTCAATCCATTCGGAAAGTTCGGGAGGTGGATGATGCGTGTTCTTAACTGTCATGTACTGCCTGTAGTCAAGATACGTTTCCCATAGGTAGACAAGCCATAAAAAGCACAAGAACGCAGAGAACAAGCCGACAGGATAGCCAAATGCTACGAACAAAATGACCGGCTCCATTGAAGGTGAAAGTGTAACGCGTACTGATTTCAATAGAAGATGAGGTAATTATCGGGCGCTGAAATAAAAGAAATACGCGAGTTGAACAGGAACAACATGAAGAGCAGTTAGAACTCAATGAGGATGTATCTTGGCCACAAGAAAATAGAAGATTACATAACAGTGTTAGAGTGGACCAGTCAACATTTGAATGGGCTTCTACAGAAGAGTGGGCGCAATGGGGTGCATGAGTTTGGTTTGAAAATATCGAAAGAGAACATTTCCAAAGAACGGGTGTCATCGACGGCGTATCCAGCGAGACCTATATCGTGAAGGAAATCGGGGAGTTCGGTTCAGTTGATTAACAATAGGCCGTTCAAGTAGGCGAAGTGCATTGACTCACGTCGTCAAAATAACAAGTTGTGACAACGAGGATAAAAATAAAGACAACAGTTAAAAGAAATAGGTAAAAAGAGATGAGCGTTAAAAATTTGCGGCCAGTGAACGGATGCGAAAACAATATGTGAAATATGACTGAAACATAAGCTGTAGAACACACTGACTCGTATGATAGACTTTGGTGACACATTCTGTCCAGAAGATTTTGTCCTGAATCCTGAAGTAGTCTTAGGAATTTGGTTAAATTCAGATGACCAAGTACGATCAGTACGCCGAAACGTAATGGGTAGATAGCCTAACCAAAATGTTTGGGAAAATAAAATAGAAAGGTTGGTTTAATAAAGGACACCATCCGAGGGAAAGTAAAGTCTGTCAGGCAAAACCATTATTTCAATGAGAAGACAAGTTAGATCATTAAGATTCGGCGAAATAATCCAGCAGGTTAGAGAAAATACAAGCCCATCACACGTCACAGGCACTTACGTCCGCATTGCTTATGTGATTTAAGCTACAATTATCGGCAGCAGTTCTAGCAAACGAACGTCCTGTAAATATACCTTAATTTCCGGACAATTCATACTGTTTCGGTAGCCACTACTGCAATATGCATTTTAATAGAGGCTGATGACACCAGACCCGTGCAAACTCACCAACAGAAAGTCCAAACGTTGTGAGAAGCCCAGTTGCACCTGGCCTAAATTGTTTACCTTTGTTGTGTCCACCGGACACTGATGTCGCAGCAGGTGAAAGTCTGAGTGCTGAAGACCAGTGGAAAGATCAGAGGACGAAATTACGAAGGAACGTTGGGCGTTTACGTTCTGTAAGTCAACAGTTAGCCAAACCACTTGAGGCTCGTAGTATACTTCGCCCTGCAAGGCCAACCTCGTCCGACCAGAGGCGTTATAATCTCGTGATCTTTCACGCACCGGAGTCCAGTGATCCATCACCCCAAGTGCGCTACGATCACGATGTCGAGTTTTTACAGGGTCTAATTGATAGACTCCTCGACGCTGGTGAGGACTCGGTGAAAGTGAGGCAGATTACCCGTCTTGGAAAGCAAGGTGATCAACAAAATCGGCCTATGAGAATCACTTTTGTGGACGAAGCCAGTCCAAGACTTATCATGTCTCGCCTAAGTAGGCTGAAAGGTTTGAAGATCCATGTTCGTCCCGACCTGGACCCAGTAGACAGGGAGCGGCTCAAGTCTGCCATCATTGAGTTGAAAAGACGCACTGGTGAGGGGGAAACAAATCTTCGTATCGTAAATTTTCGGGTGGTTTCCAACAATCCGCGAATCAGGATAAACAGGCTGCTCACACTTCAAGCACGCCCGGTGGCTCCTGCTTCGGCCTGCGAGTAGCGTTCACAAACGTTTGCAGTATTATGAATAAGCGCGATGAGCTTTGTTGTTTCGTTGCTTCTGAGCGGCCAGACGTAGTGGGACTCGCAGAGACATGGCTGCATGCAGAGTTATACACCCAAGAACTTGAACTCAACGGTTACTCGTGTTTCCGATGCGATAGACTAAAGAATGCCCACGGTGGTGTCTTACTTTACATCCGGTCTTCCCTGCGTGGGAGACTTGTGAGCACCTACCGAAGTGACGATGGCCTGTGTGAGCTACTGTGGTGCTCCATCCGCCTCAGGCGCGGAGAACTGCTTGTGGGCGCAGTTTATCGCAGTCCCCTGAGTCGTTGTTTGGATTGGCTGCCCCATCTTCGGACCCACATGAGTCGTCCACACTTTCTGCTTATGGGCGATTTTAACTGTCCTAGAATACGATGGCCTGATGTGCATTTGATGCCTGGACATAGTGAGGTTGAAGCAAAGTTCGTGGATTTGGTACTTGAAACTGGTGCATCGCAACACATATGCCAGCCAACACGCATATCAACACGTTCAACCTCGTCCTGTCTCGACCTGATGTTAACGAGCTACGAACAACGAGTGCGTGACGTTAGGATTCTGGAGCCCCTGGCTACGAGCGACCACTCAGTACTGATAGCTGATATGGAATTATCTTTGCCGTATTCACATCCGCTGCAACTAGCTTCCAACTACTGGAAAACCGACTTCGATGGTCTTGCTCGAGCCGCGAGCCAACTGGATTGGTCTCTGTCACAAACTGCATCTGTGGAAGATTGTTGGATATTTATAAAAGAGAGATTGACATCATTGTGTTCCAAATTTGTGCCATTGAAATGTCGAAAGGTTGGACCGATTAAGCCTCATTGGTTTGATAAGGAGTATGGAAACCTGGCTCGGAGGCGGCGCAGACTGTGGGACAAATTCCTTCTCTCTGGCTCTGCCAATGATTACGAAGGGTATAAATGTCAGCGGAATCTCTGCAACAGTGCAAAAAAGAATAAACGCCGACACTTTGAAGAGCAGCTCGCATTAGCCGCGAAGACCGCCCCAAAGAGAATCTTTGCATACGTGAAGCGACGCCTGAAACCGTCAGGTGATGTGCCAGTGCTGGATGGCACGGATGGACAGCCCCTAACCTCCAGCACTGAGCGTGCGTCCGCGTTGGCGGCGCACTTCGCCTCCGTATTTGCGAATAACCAGGTATCTGTTCCGAGTCCGACGTGTACCGCTTTTACCGAACTCGATAGTCTGCATTGCGGCGTCGAAGAGGTAGCTCAACTACTCGCCAACCTTGACGGCACCAAACCTGCCGGACCTGATGGGCTTCACCCACTGGTTCTCAAGTCACTTTCAACCATCCTCTCTCCTATCGTGACTGACCTTTTCAACAGGTCGCTCTCCGAAGGTTTGTTGCCGGTTGACTGGAAATGTGCGGTGGTGAAGCCTATTCCGAAAGGCGGCGACCCTAGCAAATTAGACAATTACAGGCCAATTTGTCTGACACCTATATTGGCAAAGGTTGCTGAGAAAATCGTGAAGAAGAGATTGCTGCAGTTGCTACAATCAAACGAGGTCCTGACGCCCGCACAGCACGGTTTTATGCAAGGTCGCTCATGCATTACGAACCTGCTTGTGACGAGGCATGAGTGGTTGAAGGCAATAAACAAGGGGAAGTCCGTCGACGTGATATTCATCGATTTCAGTAAAGCGTTCGACAAGGTCAGTCATGAGGTTCTCCTTCACAAACTCAGCATGTGTGGCGTCGGTGGCTCACTGCACCGGTGGATCCGCGACTTTCTTGTTGGACGAAAGTGGAGGGTACAGGTCGACGACCATCTAACTGACTGGTACCCCTCTACAAGTGGCGTGCCTCAAGGCACTGTGCTGGGGCCCACTCTGTTCCTGATCCACATCAACGATCTACCGCAGCGTCTCCGGTCGCCGTGTGCCTTGTTTGCGGACGACATGAAGATGTGGAGAGAAATCGACGCTCCCGATGACTGTGGCCTACTTCAGCAAGATCTCAACCGCTTATCCACATGGTCTGCAGAAGTTCTTCTCCCGGTCAACCCAGCCAAGTCTGTATTTATGAGCCTGGGGAAGGGTGCTAAAGGCCGAACCTACACCCTTGACGGCCAAACGCTATATCCCACACCCTCCGTGAAGGACCTAGGTGTACTCTCACGCTACGATTTGAAGTCCGTGGACAACACGAACAGGCTATATCGGAACGGACTGCGCATGCTTTGGGCGCTCAAACGTAGCTTCTGCACATGGTCTGAAGAGGTTGCCACTCACCTGTTCTCTTCTATCATTAGACCAATGCTAGAGTACGGTTCGCCCGCCTACTTTCCGATTACCCGAGGCGAGGCACAAAAGATCGAACGGGTCCAACACGTTGCTACCAGGCTGATCCCGAGTTTACGTGGCTTTGGGTATGAAGACCGGTGCGAGAAACTAGGACTCTACACCTCGTCCTACCGTCGGTTACGAGTCGACCTCATTATGACCTACCGAATTCTACATCTCGGTGAGTTCCCCATGTTAAGGCCAATGCTGCACTTACGAGGGCCATGCAGCATACGCGGACACAGATACAAACTTGTTGTGCCGGATATGAAACGTGTTCCCCACCCACTGTGCTTCGAACGGAGAGTGGTAAACATTTGGAATAGTTTGCCCGAACATGTGATTGAGGCAACATCTGTGCAACAGTTCAACACGTTGTTAGATGTGCATTTTGCCTCTATTCGATTCAGAGAACGACTGCATACTTACGATGACATATCACATTTGTGAATCCTGAAACATCGTAAGTCGAATATTTTAAATCTTACATGAGAACGACAAGGATATTCACGGTTGACAACTATTATAATGTTTTTCACAATATTTCGAAAGAGTTGTACAGAATCCATTTCTACTTGCTCTATAATACAGTATTCAGTATTCAGACTTTCACTAAGATAAGAGGCATGCGGAACCACACAAGAAACGGAAGATCTGACAAACGCAAAACTCAATAAACAGAGCAGCAAGGGGTCAGAAATAAAAGGACGAATGCAGGGAAGTCACGGGCTTGGGGATTGTATTGCACCTACTTGAATTTTCAGGGGAGAATGTGGCGGATCCAGAGTTCCATATCCAAGAAGATGACAAGCACCAACCTGATAAGTTACTTTATGCGCCCTTGATATCATCATCGTCATCATCAACAGCAGTACATCAGCCATTTGAACTGATGCTTCGCTGCCATACAACCATGAGGAACTATGAAATAAAGAATAAGAAGAGGGAGAGAAGGGGGACTTACCTGAAAACCTTAATGCCCTAAGCAAACATTCAGGGTCAAGGCGCCTACACCTTGTGTAGACAACATTCCGTCACAAACAGCTGGCTATGGTGCAAAGATATGCTGTCGACTGGTCACCTAGGGATTTCATCTAAATGTTTTATTGACAAGCAAACAACCAAGAAGTACGCGAAAGAAATGGACTGTCCGGAGCAGACGCCTACCGAGGGGCTGCTACCAAACACCGACTTATAGGTTTCAAG